GAGCTCACCAGGCAAAGCAGAAATGTCTGCAGAGGCCAGGCATCGCAGAGCAGAGTGAAGAAGCCTGGGTTTGGAGTTGAGCCTCAAAGACCTAATAACTGCACAGTCATTAAATTGGAAAAAAGTATAATTGGTAGTCCAAAGATGTAGAAGTGGTTTTTCATTGGATAGCCTGAGTTAACAAATAAATTAAATGAAAAAAAGTTGAAGACTTCAGAGAAACACCTCTGAAAGGAAATTTGAGAATTAAATCTAGAATTAACGTAATACATTATAAGATCTCTGAAAGACTAAGATATAAATATCTAAACAACAATGAAGAGGTCTCTTTATGATGAATGAGAAATGGAGGAATTCTTTTTTTCCACTCAACAAATATTTACCAGGTGCTTAATATGTACCAGGAACATTTAAGGGGCTAGGAAATATAGCAGTAAATAAAAGGAAAAAAAATATCTACCTTCACAGAGCTTACATTTTAGAGGTGGAAACAGATGCTAAAGAAGATCAATTAAATGAATGGGTTATGCCATAAATACTTTCAAGGCAAGCAGAACAAGAAAGGTGGATATGCACTTGCTGGAGATGTCAGAGAACCGTGGTTTTAAATATTGTGCTCAAGGAAACCATATGTTTATAGGTACCAGTGAAAAAATTTCTATGAAAGAGCCAGCAATGACTATAAATAGAAGCATGAGGATCTACAGAAAACAATATGTATCTGCCACATTATAACAGAAAAATGTGACATTACCTCGTCTCAAATATTCTAAAGATGCCCTTTCTCTATAAGATGAATATCATCATGGTGTTACTTAAAAAATGGCTTCATCAAGGTGAGATTAGGTGCCCCTTCCACAGACTTCCATAGCACCCGGTACTTCCTTGTTGTAGGAGCTTCTATTCCCCAATATTGTTCTTGGAGGAGAAGCTGAATATAACAGAGACACAGACCATGAAGCCTCTGATAGAGAGAAAAGACTTCTAAGGTCCTGCTTACTTTCAAGTTTCCACAAGGTTGGCTGTACTTTGTTTCCTGCCCTTGTTTTCTGAGATATGTGTCCATAAAATATTCCCACCCTTATTTTGGTGGGCCCCTGTTTTTTGCATCTAAGCTTTTTGCTTTCAATAATTTTAGCTCTGAGTCACTACCATGTCTTAGGTGCTGTATATAGGTGATATTAATACTCAGAGCAATCTGGAAAAATGGGTATTATTATGTTTGTTTTCTAGATGAGGAAGCAAATATGGTTTGGTAGGTTAAATAATTTGAACAAGGTCACGTGGCTAGAAATCCTGGACTGCATGATTTCAAAGTCCAGGCTATCTTGATTTTATCACATCGTATCTTGTAAAGTAATTCGATGACAAGGTAGGTATGGGTCAGTTGACCCACAAATGTGCAGATAGTTCACAGCAATAGTAACAAATAGGAAAAAAGATTTTTCCATAAACTCTTTTTATTCTGGAAAAGATTGAGTATACAGAAGTGAATCTTCTTAATTAAAAAAGATAAGGATTTTGGCTAAGTGTTCAGGAATAACAAGAAATTGCAATACTGTAGTAGGTTAATGATTAGAAAGGTAAAAAAGCCACTTTATATAATTTCTGAATAGAAAGTAATAGTGTAATCAAGACTGTTAACAACTGGAAAGCATCAAGCTTTGATTGGTTGAGGAATTTAAAAACTGGTATTTAAAATTTTATTTTTTGACTAGGCATTAATTTTGCATGGTTGAAAATTCAAAATATACAAAGGAATATATAGTAAAAGGTTGACCTCTTACCTCTGTTCCCCAGCCATCAACTTTTCCTCCCTAGGGGCAACTAATATTGTTCTCTTCCTGGCTATGCTTCTAAATATGTTCTAGATATGTTCTAAATATGCAGATGTGTTGCTTTTAAACTCCTTCCATTTTTAAGAACATGTTATTGTATGTTCACATGCTGTTATAGGAAGTAATACAGAGAGATCCATATACCCTTTACCCAGATTTCCCCATTGGTAATTTACAGTAGAATACTATATAGTATTCTATACTATACAACTATATTTCAATATAGTATACTATATTCAATACTATGCTATAGTTCAATAGCACAACCAGGATACAGAGCATTTACATAACCAAGGCTTCCTTGGCAGTAGCTGTCTCTTCCTCTGTGGCTACAGCTTCCATCAGGGTGACCCCTGGGCTCCAGTAACCCTGCCTCTTCCCTTTGTTTCTCCAGTTAGGAGCTGCACTTGCTAATTTCTGGATTACCTTGTCAACCCCTGCTTAGCTTCTGTGTTCTTCCGTGACCTGTGTTATCAATTCCTTGCATCAATTGTCTTTGTAAAAATTTGAAATGATCTCTATTTTCCCTGTTAGCCCCTGCCTGAAACAAGTGGATTTAAAGAAAAGTGGTGATGTGGCATTTCTTGCACACCTGGCTTTGTAGTTTCTGTTTTATACCCACTATGTTGTTATCAAATCTACCTATCCTGTTCTCTCAAACTGACTATTTGCTAGGTGATGCTCTTTAAACCAATGTATAATCTTTCCCAGACAACCATCATTTTTTTGTTTGTTTGTTTTTTTGGCTGCGCCCTGCGCTTTGTGGGATCTTAGTTCCCCGACTAGGGATCGAATCCGTGGAGTCCTGACCACTGGACCGGTAGGGAATTCCAGACAGCCATCATTTTAAAGTGATTTTTCTGGGAAGGAGGCTTGAGGCAAAGATGTAACTTACAAAAGGGGCATTTGAGATGGAGTGTCTTGACTCCCCAGGTTCAGAAGGCCTTTCAGATCACAAGGTCTATCTATGGTACATTTGCGCCAAATTCTTTATAAGCAGGCCATTTTTCTTTGTAGACTGAAAGATCTTCACAGAACATGGAAGAGCTCTGTTCTGGGCTTCTGCGTTACCCCCACCCCGATTCCGCTCTTCAGCCACGTCCTTGCAAGCCACAACTGATCTGAATTAAGACAGTACCCAGGCAGAGTCTTTAGGTGGCATAGACACATCAGGAGGGGCCACACATAAAGCTATTATCAGCCATTAACTACCTGGTGAATTGGTTTATTGGGTGTTTGCGACACTCAAGAACTGACTGAAGTTTTGATTGGGTGATGAGTCAGGCGTAGGATGGGAGAACAAAGCACCACCCAGGGAGGGAGGCAATTTGGACACAATGCCCCTCAAGAGAGCTAGCCTTGAGCCTCATAAATTTAAAGGCAAATCAGAACTTTACTGCTTTTGGCTAAAGAACATTGACAACCTTTCAGAGCAAAGGGCAAGTACAAGGCATTCTTCTGAAAAGGTTACAAGATTTCAGACAGAACAGAATGAAAGTAAGTTTCTGAATATAAAATATACCATGTTTTGGAGGTGGTTTTATGAGAACTGATCATCAGAACAATATACTACTGTGTCAAACAGATTATAGTCTGAAATAACTTTCAGTGTTCTCCTAAAGTACTGACGAAAAAAAAGTCCATTCATTTATTCATTTAACACATACTACATCGTGCCAGGTTCTATATTTGAGAAGTTACACATATCTGTTAGAAATAATTTATGTTTTCCTAAAATTGTTTTATAATCTTCCCATACGTATTTTAGGGCACATAAAGTAGTATAAAATGTCTTCTAGCTGAGGAGCCTCCAGACATCGCTGTTGAAATAAGGGTGTTCAGATTTGTGTTTATAGTTTCAGGGGAATATATAGAGTTTGGAACAAGTGTGAATCAATATTTGTTTACATTTGTATTAATTTACACCAAGATTATGCCTTTTATGTTCAGATAAAGCATTTTCTTAAAAAAAAAAAGAAGGAAGAACAACAAACTCTCTTGGATTGAGACTGGAACACAAATTATCATCATTTATAAACAATTCTGGGGTTCCTCTGGCTGGGTTCAAACCCACCTCAGCCACTAACTCCGTGTGTGTGACCTCGAGGAAATTACTTAAATTTTCTGCATCTTTAAAACGCGAATCATAATTGGTCACTCTCTTACAGAATTGTTGAGGAGTGTAAATTAGAAGATGCATGTAAAAAGGCCTGGCACACAGTGAGGGCTAAATAAATGTCCGTAATTATTCTTATCTCTGAGTTTGATAACCGGTTTGGCAGAGATGTACATAAATCGAGAATAGGAAAGAATGATCAAAGGAAAGAATTTCTTACAAGAATGGAAAAGATCAAGTCTGAGGATTCAAAAAGGGGCTAATCAGAATCTGAATTTTACCCTCCTCCCCACATTCACTAGCTATTTAGCATTTTTCTAAGATTGACCCTATAATTTGTAATTTCATGGGCTTCTAGTCTTCTCTACTTCAGCTCAGTGCTGCGTCCTTAAAGCGGAGACTCACCAATGACAAACATCGCCACAACACATAACTGGGGCAACTTGAGTGTTGCCAGGCCTGGAGTGGGAGCACTTGAATTGTTGGGCGCGGGTTTGGACTGGGCGGGGGGGGGTTACGACTCCTCCTCCCCCTCCCCCTCAACCACCGCAGCCGGCAGCTCCACTCCCCTCTCCTCAGCCCCCTTCTTCCAGCTCCCGAGCGCCTTTCTCTCTCGGGTCCGCCCTTCCTCAGGGTGTGTGAGCTGGGCGCAGGAGGCGGGCTCAGCGCTGACGGGCTGCGCCTCTGCAGCCAGAGGGAGGAGGGCGGGAAGGCGTGCGGCGGCGGCGGCGGCGGCGGCGGCGGCGGCGGAGGAGGAGAAGGAGGCGGGGACTACGCCGGGCCGTAGCTGGCGCCGAGCGCGGTGGGAGCGGAGAGGGTACCCGGCTGGCTCGGCTGGCGGCCTCAGCCCGGACCTCGACGCCGCAGCCCTGCGCCTCCCGAGCCCTTGTCTCAGTCTCCGCGACCCCAAGCACGGCGGCGGCGGCGGAGCTGTGGGCCACTGGTAGGTTGACGGGGACGGTGGTTCCTTCTGCAACCTTTTGTGCTGCAGAAAAGGTGGTGGTGGTGGTGGTGGTGATGATGATGATGGGTGGGTGGGTGCGTGGGTTAGGGGGGTTGCCCCAGTCATCGATCCTCGGTGCCAGCCCCAGTCGTGGCGCCGCCCCTTCCTCCCTGCCTCGTCTCGGGGCCGGGCGCGCGGTGCCCGCGCGGTGCTGAGGAACCCTGACCTGGCAGGCCTCCGGGATGGACGGCGGGCGGCCTCAGCGGCCCTTGGCCTCGGCGGTCTGGTCCGCCGGCGCCCGAGCAGGGGGGTAGAGTCTGGTGGACTGGGTGGGGCCCTGGCGGGGTGCCGGGATCCCGCAGTTTCTTGGCCCAGGGTGGGGTCGGAGACGCCGTGAGTGTGCAGCGCGTGTGAGTGAGGGTGCAGGGGCGTGCGCCCCCGTGTGCGCGCGGCGTGCGCTCGCCGGGGAGGTGCGGGACTCGACGACCCATTGCGCGTCTCCCGCGGTGCGGCGGTGCGGAAGTCGGCGCGCGTTGGCGCGCACGCTGGATCATCCGCCGCCGTGGCCTCATCGCGGGGCAGCGGGCCTGGGGGCCCCATTAAGAAGTAGGTCCTTCCCGGGCCTGCTGCGCCTCTGGCTGCCTGCCCGGGCCGCGCGCCGGGTGCGACTGCCCGGGCCAGATAGCACCTCGGGGCAATCCGTGGCAGCCTTATCTCGCCTGCCCTCCTCGTCCGCGCAGCAGTCTGGGGGGCGAGGCCGTCCGGGAACCCGCAGCCAGCGCCCGCTGCGAGTCTGCCGGTTTGGCGGGGGCGGGCAGACCGGCCGTGGCCGGGGGCGCGCGTGTGGATTCGGGCCGGGTGCTGGCCAGAAGCGAAAGCGGCAGATGTCCTTGGGCATCGCCGCCCTCGCCCCACCTGTCGCGGGTGAACTTTGGGCCAGGTGGGAAGCGGAGGAAAGGGGTTTCCGGGCGGGCGGCAGTCAGACCTTGAGAAGGCGGCCCCATTGTGAAGCTGCCAAACTCTAGTGGTGGAATCTGCAAATCTCTGCCAGAAAGGAGATGGGAACACGAAGGGAATGATGGCCCTGTCCCTTTCTCCTTGTAAATGTTCCACATCCTTAGGGTGTCTCTGCTTCTCCAGCCACGCCAGTTTGCACTCGGGTTGGTTACTGATTTGTGTCGAGCCAAGATGCTGAGTGTGTATGTGTATGGCTGTGGCGCACAGGTTAACACTGGGACTGGGAACTTTTTAATCATTCGAGGAAAGAGGAAGAATGGAGGCAGTAGCATTTTATAGCGTGCTCGCTACTCCTAGCCAAAAGAACAGCTCTTGCACAACATTTCCGACGTTTCTAGACTCTTCATTTTACATTGTTTTTCTCAGATAAGCCACACTACAGTTCACTTGTAAGTTGCTTTATTTATTTATTTTTAACCCTGTAGAGCAGATTAGACACTAAGGAGATAGAAATGACCTCTTCCCAAAGTTTATTTTCCCAGTCATTTCAAAATACAGTATTGGTTATTATTGTGAAGCTTTTGGTACTTTCTTAATTCAAGACCATGATTTACGCTTACACAATTATACTTAATGAATGTTTCACAGATTTCTCAGTGTTTTAATTATGTAACTGTGTATGCATTATAAACTTAATAAAATGACCAGCATGAAATACAAGGATTAATGATCCCGGAAACCTCTTGATTTGATAAGAGCTGGTGTTTAGAATATGCTTCTGCCAACATTTTAGGTTATTTAATTGTAAATTAGACTGTTTAGTAGTATCTCTTCCAGGGTATAAGACAGAGGGTATTTATTGACCTTACATAATGGTCAGTGACTTTGTTTACTTTCTCTGTATAATTTTGTATACTTTGGAGAGCTAGTGGGCACATTAACCCTTAAAAGTATTTAGTGTGGTGGGAGTAATAAAACCTTATATACAGGATTAAATCTTTTTTTTTTTTGCTGATTTATATCCTCTGGGGGAAAATCAGCTCGTTTCCTCCAGAGAGAGCTCTGATTTCGTCACCAGCGTATCAAAATAAGTTCTTGGTTTTAAGCTTTCATCTGGAACGTTAGCCGATTCCACTGTGTACACCTGTCCCATTTCAGTTATGTTTCCTAAAGGGCAAATTTCTTGTAAAGACTGCATGTAGATGTGCAGTTCCAGTTACTGTCAGTCATATTTGTAGTGAAACTGAATTTTTTTCTAAAAGTAGAAGGATGATTTCACATAATGATAAGCCACTGGTAATTTCTTTAATTTCTACTAGTAGAAGTAGAAAGAAAATGAACGCTGCCCTTTAAGGAATTTACTATTAAAAGAACTGATATTAGAAAGAGAAACACATTTTTTTCTTCTGAACCAATTATGGGTTGTCTTTCCAGGTTGGTGTGGTTAATGATTTGTTTGTAAGGTCAAGAATGGTTTCAGAAAAGTCACACCCTACTTAACTCTTCTTAAAAATTATTGATGATTTAGTTTTTATGAGTTGCAAGTGGAAAAGTAAGATGATTTTAAAGTAGCCTTTAATACGAGCACATAAGTATAGCTAAGCATTTTACTTTCATTGTGAATGTTGTACTTTGGCAGTTAAACCATTTTATTTCTGCTCAGTGTTCTCTTACTTGAGAGATTTTTTTTGTTTTTTTTGTTTTTTTTTTTTGCGGTACGCGGGCCTCTCACTGTTGTGGCCTCTCCCGTCGCAAGGCACAGGCTCCGGACGCGCAGGCTCAGCGGCCATGGCCCACGGGCCCAGCCACTCCGCGGCATGTGGGATCTTCCCAGACCGGGGCATGAACCCGTGTCCCCAGCCTCGGCAGGTGGACTCTCAAACACTGCGCCACCAGGGAAGCCCTTGAGAGATGTTTTAGTCCTCTTTTTTTTTTATTATTAGAGTAATCTCTGAAACTGTTGGTAGCAAAATATTTTCATTAGTCTGAACGGAACTTTTAAAAATTGCTATTTTTTGCCAAGTCCTTTTCCACTATGTGTCTCTCCTCAAATAGCCACTCTGAGGAAACTACCTGCTTCCATTTTTTTTTTTTTTCCTTCCTGTTTTGGGAACTAGAATTAGAACCTGTAACTTCTCTACCAATTTTCTTTGCCTGAAGTTTATCTTTCTTTTTGTAATATAACCTTTAATGATTTGTGAGATTTATTTACCAAAATTCTTGAGGGCTATATGCTCACCTTCGTAACCTTCATAACCTTATGATTTTTGGAAGTGATATTTTGTTAATATTTTTCATATTGCTATTTTGTTAATGGATCTATGATGAAGCCAGAGATTTGTGGCCTTTTTGTGTGTAGGGATTTTGTGTGGGCTTGAAAATTTCCATATGGAGCTTCTATATTTGGGGGGAAATCACTCCCGTTAGGTTCCCAATGCCATTCAAGTTTACTGTTATATGCGTTAGATTTATGTATTTCCATGTCTGTCTGTCTTCCCCTCTTGTCTGGTCTCAGGCTTCACTTTTTATATTTGTACCAGTACCTGTACCATGCTGGGACACAGTAAGACCCAAGAAATATTGTTGAATGAGTAAATGAATAATTGAATGGCTGAGTGGATACACCCAAAGAAGTACTACTCAGAACTGTAAAGAAAGCCACTATGCAAGCAGAAGGGTCTTTCCTCCTTTCTTTTTAAATTCATTGCCTTTCCATTGTTATATATTACTTTGAGTAGGATGATAATACAATTAGCAAACTGGGACAGGTTTGAGAGATAAAGGGGGTGCTGTAAATAATTATGCCAGGGCACTCACTGGCTATAAACTGAGACATATGGTCACCTGACTTTTGAAGGACATTCTTCTTTATTTTCCTGTGATAGTATCTATCACCTTGCCTGAGAAAATTTGACACACTTGCTAGTTAATGTTTGCAGACTTTTCTGTTTGTAGAAACTTCATTTGCAGTCAGATGTTGGGTGTCTTTTGCTTAGTCACCCATGGCTTCCCTGTCCAGAGGCCTATGGGTAGCTCTTGACCAGGCTTAATTTTTCCTATTTTCATTGCTTACAGGATTATGTCACAGGACTTTCTGCTTGTTTCAGCTGCTTATAGCTGGAAGCGTTGTGTACTCTAGCCTTTGCTCTGTTTACTTCCCTTTGTTTTTTTTGCTTTTTGTTTTTAATTAATTTTTATTGGAGTATAGTTGCTTTACATTGTTGTGTTAGTTTTACTTCCTTTTGTTTTTTATGCAGTATTTAGTCCATCTTGTAAGAATTTCACATGAGCTCTTTTCCCTTTGGCTGTTTTTGAGAGAAGATCCATTGATACTTTGCCAAAGCTTCATGTTCAAAACATTGGCCAAAATCAATTGCAAGTGGTAGAGATTTATAGATTTTAAAGTATCTTAAAAGTGTTATTTGGAGGGTATATATTTTGGGGACTTTTGAATTACAGTCTTTTAGTTCTTTCTAATGGGAGATGAGAATAAAATCCTTATTATAATTTTTACTACGTTCCTTTATAGGAAGTCTCTTAAAGAAGCTATATTCTTATACTAGTTTCTGACCTCGTTCCTTTTATTTTAAATTTTTTTCTCTTTTTCACCATCTTTATCATCATCATCCTCTTAGCACCTGTGCATGGATAACGTGCAATTACACACCAAACAGTAAGCTGAGTCAGAAATGAGTAAAAAATGGAACAGAGTTCCTACACCTTGGTTTCGCCCTGTGTTGCTCCTTTGGACTCTGTTTGTATTTCTGTTTTTGGCTTGGCACTGGCATAATAGGGATAATTAGTTACCACACTTTGTTTACTATGAAATTACAACCATTTCCTAGACTTCCACATCAGCTGTAGTGCAAGAGTTGGATAATTACTTTAAAGCTCCTCTGCTTTCAAATCCAGAATGAAGTTTTAGGTTGATTTTCCTTTTAGTATTGAAAAAATATTGGAAAAGATATTTTTCCAATGCATTTAAAAGCTTGAAAAGAAGGACATATCACCAGAAACATGGTGCAAATTATATGATAGTTTGAGATTTTAGACTGCTTTATAAAACTATTGTTTATTTAAAATCAAACATTTTAAAAAATTTTTTCTAATGTTCCTTTTTCTGGGTTTTCAGTCTAGATTTCTAAAAGTCTAAATGAAATCTATCTCACTTTGCGATAGATGTAGCCCTGAAAAATCAAGTGGAGATACGTTTCTGTATCTGGCATCCAACCATATAACCAGCAAATATTGGCTGATACATTTTTTTCCTGGCTTAGAATTTTTGATTTAAAAAAATCTTATAAGGTCTGAGGAGAAAGGGTCTATGATTTAGAATGGTTTTGTATAAGACTCTCCTGTATGTGCCTTAGAATTTCGACATTTTTCACGCTGGAAATAACCCTAGAGTTAGTAATTAAAACTACCTTCCTCCAGCCGTTTCACAAATGGGGCAATAGAGCTTTTAAATAAAATAACCCTCCACACATTTAAGATAGGATGCCACTTATAAAAATTAATATACATTTTTCAGGAACATGATTATTGTGTAGAAAGCTACACACTTGGGCTTATCACTAAACAGAGCCATGTGTGTGTAAAGTGATGTCAGTGGGCTTTGGAAACAGACAAATTGGGGTTTGGAGTTTTGCTCTGACTTTCAAATAGTATTACTTGATTAAATACTTTAAAACAGGGGTAATATTTTCCTGATGGGACTATATAGTTGTTAAGATTAAATGATATAAATTGCATATAGGTTTTGGCTTGTAGAAGGTGCTAAAACTAAAAAAAAAGGTGTTAAAAATTTCCCTTCCCCATTAAAAATCCATTTACTTGAATAAGAAATCAATTTGAACTTTATAACATTAGGATTGGGGAGATTCTTTGGGGGTAATTATGTTAAATAAAAATTATTGTTAGGTAACAATTTTTGTTACACTGTAATTCATTTTATGTTAAAACCAGAGGCTTCATTGGTGGAACAGACTTAATTATCTAGGTTTCTTGGTTACCCAATTTGAAAATAGTTTGTGACAAAAAATGAAAGGAAAGGTGTCGAAACTAAATCTAAAGAAGTTTCAAAGGTCGATAATCATGTTGGTTTCTCAGAATGATAGTTCTGGGTGTGTTAGCTCCTTCCAGGGTCCCAAGTGGAGGAAGCACATACCTTTATTAATTCAGTAATAATCCATTTCCTTTGGATAAAACTTTTATGTGCTGGTTAGAAAAATAATGAATAACAAATCTTTTTGGGAATGAGTTGAACTGTTGCCACTTCAGGCTTTGTGCACTTACATAGGTAAAATGAATCTATTCAACTCATTTGAGCCACCATCTGCCCCCAACAAGTTAAGCACAACAGAAAACCTACCAACCAAAGAAACCTTTACAGGTGGAAGAAACTTTGAGTTTTCTTGGTCTTAAGAAATTAACCCAGTTAATTGGGGAGGTACAAGATAAAGATAGATTTTCTTATACATTTGTCCCCAAGTAAGAGGTGAAAGGCACAGAAGAGATGTTAGAAACCGTAAGCAATGTAATAACTATAAAGAAGTGTTTTTGAGTTGTTCTCTTTTAAAAAAATGTTTTTCCATGAGCCTTTCAATCATTTGCCTCAGAGCAGTCTTAGGGAGGATTGTTGCTATTTTATGGCTAAAAAGAGTAGACATCAAAAATTAATTGCATAATAATAACATCACACATTTGTAAAGGGGTTTGCAGCATGCAAAACACGTTCACCTACTTCTCATTTGATCCACATAACAACTTTATGAGGGAGGAAGGATGGAATTGTTCTCATTTTAAAAATTGCTACTTATGCCAGGTCAAGAGGCAGAGTTCTTAGCAAGGCAAGGTCTAGGACCTTTTCTTTTGACCCCAGTCTCAGCATTATATTTTCCATAGGATACTGCGAATCTGTTGAACACATGGATAGGATTTGGATGGTGGAACCAACATTTAAACCCCTAAGTTTTCTTGGCTCTTCATTTAGCCCTGGTAGCTACTATTAGTCTCCAGGTAGAGGTTAAGCAACAGAACACAGAGAAACAAGCATGATAAAATGTTTGAGGTTGCATTTAGCTGAACAAACTCAAAATTACTTTAATTAATTAATATTGTATCCTATGTAACCTGTACCTGGTGTTAGTATCTCCTGCTTCATCATGCTTTGCAGTTAGAATTGACATAACTGCTTTATAAGTTGTGTTACTTGTTAAATTAAAGGTTTATTTTTATATTTCATGTTTAGTATCTGGAGTAGAGCAGAAAAATTATTATGCCTGTGTTCCCTTGGGACTCATTGGAAATTGTACAGTGACATCTTCTGGGATTTAGGCTGGTGAGTTATATTTTGCTTTTTCTGTTTGTTAACCAGTTGTATGAACATAATACTATAATGTGTTTTAAGTACTATATAAACCAGATGAATATGAAATGTTAGTATATTATTATAAATATATAGTATAATTATGAAATTTTTAATAGTGAGAACTGAAATTATTATTACTGAATACTAACATTATTATAATTGAAATGTTTGACTTTTTGAGTAGATTTTCCTTTTTTTATTCTTGTAAGATAAAGGAGGTCTTATGGGATAGTATTTTGAAATATAGTAAAGAGGTAGTTGCTCTAATTTCAGGGAAATTTTAGTAAAAATGTTAATCTCCAAAGATTGGTGAAGTAATTTGCAGAAGGTTTGGTTGTGTATTATACATATATAATGGCAAACAGGTAACTGAAAGGAATATCATTTTCACTTAGTCGTTTCTCAGTTTACTGCAAGTGTGACATTCCTTTTATCACACCATGAATTTAAACTGTTAAAAATAGGCAATGCTGTTGTTGTCTTTTTTCAGTGTGTCTGTGTACCTGGCTGACACAGTTGTCCATGTGGCTCCAAGTCTTTGAAGGGGAAAAAATTTAATAATGACCTTTTTAGCATTTAAAAAATTATATTAGTGTGAGTTCATGCTTTGGTATGTTATTCTACTTGCTCAATATCTTTGTAGGTCCTGGCTTTGAACCACGTAGAGTGGTTATAATCTTTTGAAAAAGCCGTTTCACAGTAATCTCCAAATTAGCAGTCAGCAGTAGAATGATTCAAAAGAATGATGGGGGGGGGAAACAAACAATGTTGTTTCATTTAATAGATATAACCTGTCAAATTTATGGAATGTAATTTAAGACACTGAAGAATGGAAGCATAACTAAAGTTTTCAGTTTTGAGGAAAAGAGCAAGAAGTTTGAGAACTATAGGTACAAAGTACTTTTAGAGGCTATTAAATAAGAAATGATGTGGCTGGGTCATTAACTCATTCAATTGAAGTAAAGCACAAAACAAGGAACAATGAGTAGAAGCTACAGAAATGTGTGTGTATCTCTCTCTCCATACAGTATACATATATGTGTACATATGTACATATGCATAGTTATAGATGTACTTATATATGTAAATGAAAAGACATTCTAGCAGAGCTGCAAAAAGGGAAATGAGCCAACTTGAGAGGTGGTGAGTTACCTGTCATTGAAGGTGTTCAAACATAGACTGGACAACTGTTAGATTCCTTTGGATTCTGGGATTAAACAGTATAAGAAGGATTTTTTTTTTTTGGCCACTCTGCATGTTATGTGGGATCGTAGTTCCCTGACCAGGGATTGAACCTGTGCTCCCTGCACTGGAAGCATGGAGTCTTAACCACTGGACTGCCAAGGAAGTCCACAGAAGGATTTTAAAGAATTTTAAAATTTGGAGGACCATCAAAAACTTGGTGTGACAGGCTTATTTATTTTATTTTATTTTTTTGGGGGGTACGTGGGCCTCTCACTGTTGTGGCCTCTCCTGTTGCGGAGCACAGGCTCTGGACGCGCAGGCTCAGTGGCCATGGCTCACGGGCCCAGCCGCTCCGCGGCATGTGGGATCTTCCCGGACCGGGGCACGAACCCGCGTCCCCTGCATCGGCAGGTGGACTCTCAACCACTGCGCCACCAGGGAAGCCCGACAGGCTTATTTTTAAAGTCAGGTTTATTGAAGTATAATTTATATACAGTAAAATTCACCCTTTTAAGGTGTATAGTTTGATGACTTTTGACAAATGTAGCCATTTGTGTAGTGTCAATGTATAGAATATTTTCATCCCCCCCCACAAAATTCCCTTGTGCCCCTTTGTAGTATGCCCTCTCCTCCCAGCCTCAGCCCTTGGCAGCCATCGATTGATTTCTGTCCCAGCAGTTTTGCCTTTTCCAGAATGTCATATAAATGGAATCACAGAGTATATAACATTTTCTGTCTGCTTCTTTCACTTAGTGTAATCCTGGTTTGTTCCTTTTCATTGCTGAGTGGTATTCCATTTTATACATGAACCACAGTCTCTTTGTCCGTCACCCTGTTGGTGGATGTTTGGATTGTTTCGAGGTTTTTTTGTGGTTATGAATGAAACTGTCATAAACATTCATGTTCAGGTCTTTGTGTGAACATATATTTTCATGTTTCTTAGGTAAATACCTACAGGTAAGGTGGGTGGGTTGTTTAATAAGCATTTATTTAACTTTATAAGAAATTGCCCAACTGTGATCCAAAGTGGCTGTACCTGACAGAGGCTTCTAAGAAGCTAAAATAACTGTAACTATACCAAAGTATGTGCAGATGGAGAAGCCCAATTCTCACTCAGTGCATAAATTTATTTATATTTTATATCCAGTTTTAACAAGTTTGGTTAGCAGATGTTTTTTAAGCACAGCAGTGGATTAGAAACAGTAAATTAGAAGGCCTTAGGGATAGGTTGCTAGCAGTTGGAAGCAGCCAAAAACGATATTCACTAATGTGACTATAATTGCTGATTAAGGAAAAGAAGGCAGGAACTTACAGGAGTGAAATTCTTCTACCTGTTAAGTTCTATGTCTATAAGACAAGTTCCCAAACATGTCTGCATATTAGAAGCACTTGCGGTATGTTTTAAACATGTCAGAGCCCAGGCTACGCCCCAGATGATTTAAATCACAGATCTGGGATAGAGCACAGACATCAGTATTTATTGAAGGTCCTTGGATGTGTCAGTGTGTAGACAGCTTTGGGAACCATGTGCTAGAGGCACAGCATGATGACATTGAAGGAGAACTGGACTTGAAGCCAGGAGACCTGGAACCGCACACCTGGCCCTGGGTAGGCCCTTGCCTTCACGGCTTACATGTCCTCTTCTCTGTAATCGGAGGTTCCGGGAAAGTGAACTCCTAGATGACTCTGGCACTAAAACTAGATAGATCTAGATATCACTGGACTGATAATGGTCATGCTTAGGAAGGACTCCATTTCCCAAGGAATGACTCTGTTCTGAATGGTTCGTTTCAGGTACCTCTTGAAAAAGATTTTGTTCACATGATATTTTTGTTCTGTATATTTAGACAGTTACATTACATCTGTTTTGTCTTAAATTTTGTTGCTATGTGTTGCTAAAAACAGTTCAAGCATACTGGAGCAGTTTTTTGATTACTGAGGGTGACTTTTTTTGATAAGCCTGATTAAAAATAAAACACTCCCAGAATGCAGTACTTCTCAAAATAATTCTTTGTATAGTAGTTGTGAAACTTATCAGCTATTTTCAGAGCTGGTCTAAGGAGCTGAGGCATCTAGGTTATATTTTCAAAATGTTGCTCCTGGTGCCAAATGTATAGGAAGTTTGGCCTCTGGGAGGGTGTTCAGAGCTGAGTAGATTCCATGGTCACATTCTTTTGAATGTGCTGGTCTTGATGCATCAGGTTCCCCTACATGTGTGTTGTGGTTTGGACTTTTTGCTTTAGTTTCAGCTAAACTTCACAATTGCATGCTGTACCCAGTGTTTTTAAAATGTACACTGTGTACATTTTCCTGGTAAATTTTGAAGTGTTTCCTTGTTTAGCGTTATCTAGTTTTGAGTCCTCATATATTTCAAAGAAACAGAGTGGTGCCTGTGAACATTGCCAGGTCTTCCGTATGCTGTATAAATATACTTGAGTGCCACTGTTGCTGATTGGATTGTGAGGGAATTTGATATTGAAGACCCTTAGGTGTCATTTAAAAAAATTACAGTTGTTTCAGGTACTTGTTTATGAAACTCAGTTATAAAAGCAGTGTTCAACTACAAGTTGACTTTTTTATGCTTGTTGCATTTTCTGTTCTAGACTCTATTCCACAGAATATTGCTGCTTCTGGTATCATATTTTCTGTTTCCAGTTTTTATTTTTGCTTTAAACTGCATATGAAAGGCATTAATGGAAACAGTAAGGGTCTCTGTTGTTGGTCTCCAATTTGTAGTGCTCTGTGGTGCAGAAGTTAGCAGTGGGCCTGATTTCTCGGTTCACATTTATTCTTAAGGATGCAGTGGGTGTGGTGCCTGTTGCACATATACTTGCAATATTTACAGAGAGTGCTTTGTAATTGTTTATCTTGGCAGTATGTTTTTTTGATACAAGTTTTATTTTAGAATATAAAACAAAATGCTTAGTCATGAATATTGTTAAAAATAACAAACCCATAAGCAGAGTTTTCATGGTAAAATACAAAGAATATACTGCTAACACAGGCTACATCCAATGTAGTCACGATAGCTGAGTTCCCTGATGAATGCCTTTAATAAGAAATTTTGCAGTGAAAATTATTGGACATTCATATATGCTGACTTTGAGACCTTTCAGTCTTTATTGTCTTTCACATCACCCCCATTTTTTTAGAGAGTACTTCCCCCTCTTCAGATGGAACAGTACCTACACTACTGCTGCCCATTAAAAAGATAAGTAAACGTTGATTGTGTAACTGCTCTCAGGATCTTGCTCCAATATTTAAATCTACTCAGGAAATTTTCGGCAATTTAATAGCATAAAAAGGTTTGTTTTCGGTCACATTGAGGAGTGGAAGGTTATGCTGCTTAGTCAGCACTCTACCCAGCTAAAAATAAAATATTTACTTGCCAATCACCTAGCCTCCACATAGCTTTCTTAGTGCCACACAGTAGATGTTCTTTAGAAAGGCAAAATATAAGTAAAAAGGATCATTTTTTAAAATCTGTGCAATTTGCTGAGTCCTGTTTGCACCATTCATATTCCTACATGAGTGTCAAGATCTGAAGATGTTCTTGTATATAGGACAGTATGCTACAGAGACCATGAAAGCACCTCAAAGAACTGTTAGTTTTGAGAATATGCAATCGTTTGGAGCAGGAGTACTGATGTTTTATAACTAAAAACTGCAGTTTTCCAGCCTTTAGAATTACTCATCAGAGGTTCAGCAGGTAGCAGCTGTTATGTATGTAATATCTAAAGTGAGCTTTTTCATGTTCCAGTACAGCAGGACTCTCATTCAGAAGTGTTACATAGAGTATTGATCCTTAGTGCCTAGGTTAAAAATTTTTGTTAGAGGATATTAGAAATGCTTATTTCTTTAACTTTCTGGTTAAGTAGTGTTTTCTACAGGGAGTGTGTTGTTTACATTAGTAAAGTGTAGTAGGTTTCTTACATATGGTAAGTTTTCTTAAAGTATGGTAGGCTGCTTGGTTGACATTTCCAGAGTTCTTAAACTACATTTTCCGCTGAACAATCTAGTTTAAATCATTGTCTATCAGGTTAGATGTCTGAAGAGCCTGTTGGATAGTTTTGCCCAAGCCAGGTGATATTTTTTATGGTGTTTTGGCTGCTGGAAACTTAACCAGTCATAGTTACTCATCTAACAGAAGTGTCTTTTTCTTGTCACACCAAATCTTGACCTTTATACATTGTCTCACTCACTTTTCTAATTTTCTAGGTACTTATTTTTAAGCTGGTGTATAATTTCTTTTTCTCCCAAACCTTTGTATCCTGCCATTCATTATCCTCAACCCCTAGAGATTCTAAGTATTCCTCTTGGTCTGCCTTGATGGAGCAGGATTGACTTAGTGAGGGAGCAAACTTTTGATGATTGCATTGACCAGAGAAGCCTGTGCCCACTCTTCTTTACTGTGACTTTGCACACTGTTAGCTCGCTTAGCAATTTTTATACTAAGGGGCAAATAAGATGACTTCCAGCTTAGCCTCTTTTTGAATTATCACCCAATTCAGAATGGGTAAAGTGTGAATTCATGAATTTTAGGAAGTTTATAATATACCAGGGAATGCAGTAAGGTGACTGGTGGAAATCCATGGACTGTCATGGACTGCCAGATTTGGAAGAAACCTAGACTGGTTTGTCACTTAATGTGGACTGATGGCTTGAGTGTCACCACCTAGGTAACTCCCCTTGGGTGGTCCCCATCTCCTCCACAGCCCTGATTATTTAGGTTTCACTGACCCTCCTCTCCTTCTCTTTCAGAATGAAGTATCAGAGAAACACTTCCCGCCTGTAGCTGCCTGTCAGGTTAGGTATGTTGGAGGCCTTGGATCTGTCCTCTTGTGCTCTTTCTGGACTGCAGAATTAGTGGGAAAGGAAGGATTAATTTGTCATTTGGCTTAGAGTAAACATTTGTTTGTTCAGCATAAAATCTGATGAGGTTTCATATGGCCCTCTAAAGTTTATTAGATGAGAAATCTTCAGGTTTTTGCATGCATATCAAAGTATGCATGGTAGTCACCTCCTATTCCCATCCTCTCAACAGAGAAATAAATTATACAATTAAATATAAATTTATTTTTACATTAATAAAATAGAATAAAACCAATTAATTTAAAGCTAGAAGTGTTGGGGGACGAAGGTATTTTGGTTAAATTAAAATTGGAAATAGTCTAAGATTTAGAGTAAAAAGTAGGTAATAAGCAAAACTATATGGATCCCTTTGACATTTACTTTATCTCAGGAATCATTCGTGTTTTGTTTTTTTTTTTTTGCGGTACGTGGGCCTCTCCCTGTTGTGGCCTCTCCCGTTGTGGAGCACAGGCTTCGGGCGTGCAGGCTCAGCGGCCATGGCTCACGGGCCCAGCCGCTCCGCGGCATGTGGGATCCTCCCGGACCGGGGCACGAACCCGCATCCCCTGCATTGGCAGGCGGACTCTCAACCACTGCGCCACCAGGGAAGCCCTCAGGAATCATTCTTGATATTAGTTTTCAGTTGTACTAGAGATGTGTGGACCATAGTGAGGACAGGATGGCATCTGGTAACTTCTTCATAGTCTTGGTTTATTTATTTTCTAATGAAGGAAAAGAAAATGCAGCATGCAAATGAAGGAATAAGGTTGGGACTTTTTTTTTTAGCTTTCTGATTGCTTACATTTTGAATGAATACCCAAATTTTAGAAAATGATTCAATTAGGAAAAGATTATTTGTTTTACAAAGGGATTCGTGAGAGTTATTTAATATAATAGCCTAATTCAGTAAATATTTAATCTTAAAATCACATTATTTTTTGACATGTTATTAGTTGACATCGTCTTCATTAGTGATCTGAGACATTTAAAGCTGTGCTACCTACTTCTAATTGAAGATCAAGTAGAGGTAAAGTTTATCAGAAGTGACATTGTCACTGTTTCCCTTGGATTTTATTTTCCAAAATTCCATCTGCAAGTTCCTAGGAACCTGGCCATTGTCTGTGGTACTTCTGGTTGCTGGGGTTTTCCAAATATGTAATGTGATCATTGTGATGAATAATATTAGTATTCGTTGTGAATTGTTCTGCCATTTACCAAACTATTCAAAAGTGCACTGTCTTAGGTGTTGCAGAATAAAATAACTGTTAAATCTGTGGTATATTTTAGGATTAAATAGTCAAATAACATTTGATTTTTATATACGTTTAATATTAAAAATGGCCTGATTTACTGGATTTAGGATTAACTTTTAAACTACAAAATGGTTTTCTTTAAATAATTGATTGGAGATATGGAATAAAGAACATTTACAAGGTTTGTGGGAACCTTCCCTTAAGACTCCTCCAACCTTAAAAATTCTTTTAGCTCTAAATTGGATTCTTTGGAGAAATTGATCAGCTTTTATCTTTTATTGTATGCCCCTTAAACACAGTTGAAGAGTTAATTTTTTTTTAAATTTTTAAAGTTTTTTTTTTTACATCTTTATTGGAGTTTAATTGCTTTACAATGGTGTGTCAGTTTCTGCTTTATAACAAAGTGAATCAGTTATACATATACATATGTTCCCATATCTCTTCCCTCTTGCGTCTCCCTCCCTCCCACCCTCCCTATCCCACCTCTCCAGGCGGTCAAAAAGCGCTGAGCTAATCTCCCTGTGCTATGCGGCAGCTTCCCACTAGCTATCTACCTTACGTTTGATAGTGTATATATGTCCATGCCTCTCTCTCGCTTTGTCACAGCTTACCCTTCCCGCTCCCCATATCCTCAAGTCCATTCTCTAGTAGGTCTGTGTCTTTATTCCTGTCTTACCCCTAGGTTCTTCATGACATTTTCTTTTTCTTAAATTCCGTATATATGTGTTAGCATATGGTATTTGTCTTTCTCTTTCTGACTTACTTCACTCTGTATGACAGACTCTAGGTCTATCCACCTCATTACAAATGGCTCAATTTCGTTTCTTTTTATGGCTGAGTAATATTCCATTGTATATATGTGCCACATCTTCTTTATCCATTCATCCGACGATGGACACTTAGGTTGTTTCCATCTCCTGGCTATTGTAAATAGAGCTGCAATGAACATTTTGGTACATGACTCTTTTTGAATTATGGTTTTCTCAGGGTATATGCCCAGTAGTGGGATTGCTGGGTCATATGGTAGTTCTATTTTTAGTTTTCTAAGGAACCTCCATACTGTTCTCCACAGTGGCTGTATCAATTTACATTCCCACCAGCAGTGCAAGAGTGTTCCCTTTTCTCCACACCCTCTCCAGCATTTATTGTTTCTAGATTTTTTGATGATGGCCATTCTGACCGGTGTGACATGATATCTCATTGTAGTTTTGATTTGCATTTCTCTAATGATTAATGAAGTTGAGCATTCTTTCATGTGTTTGTTGGCAGTCTCTATATCTTCTTTGAAAAAATGTCTATTTAGGTCTTCTGCCCATTTTTGGATTGGGTTGTTTGTTTTTTCATTATTGAGCTGCTTATAAATTTTGGAGATTAATCCTTTGTCAGTTGCTTCATTTGCAAATATTTTCTCCCATTCTGAGTGTTGTCTTTTGGTCTTGTTTATGGTTTCCTTTGCTGTGCTGAAGAGTTAATTTTAAAGTTAATTTTTATGTTGGAAATATTTTGTGGATTCTTGTGAAATTGTGTATGATTATTTTTATTTGCTTCATTATGTTGAGCTCTGTATTAGATTTGCTTAATAATCGCACCAAGGAATAAACTTTGTGTGATTGAAAGGAGCGCTGCATTTAGAGAAGTATTGCTGTTGTTTTCTGTTAACACTTCTCCATATGAACCTTTCAGTAGTCCTTCAGACTTTAATTTAACCTGCCTTTGAGTTCTTGAAGGCAGAGAAGTAGTAGTCATTTCATGCTTGCTGTGGAACATTTAATAGGCATAGATAAAAATCTGTCAGATGTACATTGGTTGTTTTTCCGGCCGGTGTTACTTCTTGCTCCCTGAGCCTTCTCAAACCACCCAGCTTGGCCCGAGGCTCTGATCGTTACACTCTTCTAATCTGAGTCTGTCTGCTTTTAGGAGTGTGCAGACTGGTGCCTAAAATGGAAGTAGATGTTAATGGAGAGCCCAGAAGTACCCTGACCACCCTGCCCTTGCCCGTGGCCGAGGTGAGCTCCCCGGGAAAGGCAGAGGTGGAGAAGCCCCGCTGTTCCAGCACTCCGTGCTCGCCGATGCGCCGGACTGTGTCAGGCTACCAGATCCTCCACATGGACTCTAACTATTTGGTTGGCTTCACGACTGGTGAGGAACTCCTGAAGTTAGCCCAGAAGTGCACAGGAGGTGAAGAGAGTAAGGGAGAAGCTGTGCCTTCCTTGCGCTCCAAACAGCTGGATGCAGGACTTGCCCGTTCCTCTCGTTTGTATAAAACCAGAAGTAGGTACTACCAGCCGTACGAGATTCCAGCTGTCAATGGCAGGAGGCGAAGGCGGATGCCCAGCTCAGGAGACAAGTGCACTAAATCTTTACCTTATGAACCTTATAAGGCCCTCCATGGGCCTCTGCCTCTCTGTCTTCTTAAAGGTAAGAGGGCTCACTCCAAATCTCTGGACTACCTCAATCTAGATAAAATGAACATCAAGGAGCCAGCTGACACAGAAGTGCTACAGTACCAGCTTCAACACCTGACCCTCAGAGGGGACCGTGTGTTTGCTAGGAATAATACATGAGTGACTTGCAGAGGATGTAAACCAGTTTAGGTCAGCCTACACTTGGCTAGAAAATTCCACTGTTGTACTCTGTACAGGACTCTTTACATTATAGATGGTTAAATCAGCTAAGTGTTCCTGGAACATAAAAATTGGATCAAATTTTGAATACAGGAATGAAATCACAGGTACTTGAGGTGAAATCATTCTAGAGCACGCAACTGCAAGGAAAACAGAATGTTGACCATTAGTTTGTATCGCTTTTTAGCTGGGAAAAAAAGGCTTTGGTACAGTAATATCGTCTTTAAAATTCCGATACTCAAATTGGAAATGTTATCTGCTTGGTTGTTGCCGACTTGGTATGATTCATTAGAAATTTATATCTTAAGTACTCAAGTACTTCTTTAATCTCTGTACTTTACTATAAAATATATGTAATGATTTGTTTTATGAAATTTAGAAGTTGAAGATTGCTAAATTGGACCACGTTTTATTTTTAAATATTGAGTTTAAATATTTTATAACTGGTTTTGCACTGAAAAAAATTAACATTTCAAATTGACAAGAGAATAATCTTTCTTCACTTGCTTCAATAATATTATTGAGCAGTGAATTTTTTTATTTCCGCATGGAAAGTTATTGATCTCTATGGCTGTAAAATATTTCTTTATAGCGTTATTAAAGTGTGTCTTAATAAAATTAAATTTGGGATACAAAGTATTTATTTTACAATGGGTGGGGGGAAACTTTACAGGAAAGTTTCCAATATGAAGTTTTCATAAGTTGAAAAAGTTTCCTTAGTGCTTATTTTCTAATTTAAAATTCATCTGGAACTTTAAAATGGAAAGGATTCTTTAAATTGTGGATTATAGGCATAATACTGATTACATCTGAATGTTCTGTAAGTGGATGGAACTCTAATAGAGGAACTCATGATTTCTACTCTCAAATGCTTAAACTAAGTATGAAGTGATACCATTCAGCATGGCATCGGGTCATTTCAGTTTTAGTTCTGTGCAGCACAGGCACTCATTGAAATTCCACTTTCTAGGATTAGTGCAGGAGCCTAAAGTGCTTCTACAGTTTTAATGGGTTAATCCTGGATTACTTAACAATTTATGTCAATTGCACTGGTTTAATTTGTTGCTAAAGAAATAATGCCCTGGCTTTAGTAACAAATACAGCTCAACTATTCTTGAACATATTTTGAAAAAAAAAAAATGTATGTAATGTACCTTTTGTAAAAGTTTCTATTTCTTTTTTTCTTTTTTGACTCTTGAAGGTGCAATTTATTACTGAATTGGCATTTCTGGCAGCATAGACCTCCTTATTTTAAATTTTATTTTGGGGGCTGTGAGTTTCTAAGGTGTTAGCAATCTTGCTTATAAAATAAGAACACCTTTAAATTAAATGAGTGGGTCATTCCTGGTGCAGTTGTGACTTTTCTTTGGCCAGAATGAATGACAAACTATTTAGAGCAGAATAAGTATTAGAAAACCCTAGGAACTCTTAATCAACGTTGATTATACTTCCACTGAGGCAAATCATGTGAAAGAGCCTCAGGGAAGTTGGCCCATATCTTACTGAGTTGATCAGATTTCTTGGTGGGCTGGAAATTTTCAGCTATTTTACATTTTAAAGTAAATTGCACCTTTGTAACATATTGTATTGACGAATGATCACTAAGATTAACTATATCTATACAGTCATTAGTTTGACAAGAAATAGAATCCTGTCAGATGCCAAAGAGTTGGGATTTTTACGTTTAATGATTAAACACCATTATTTATTGATGACTTACCCTGTGGAACTGTATTATTTCTAACTATGAAATAAAAGGGTGATATAAACACACATTGTTGTGTTGTGCTTTAACGAGGTCCATCATCAACAGGCCAGTTACTGTTCAAGGATTCACCGAAGCAGTTATCTTTAGATTCCATTTTTGTTAAAGAAAATAAAATAATAATTTTGCATTTGGTGCTCGTTCACATTTCAAGGTGAAGGATGTATTAATGGCAATGGTATGTGTTGAGTCACAACTGTGTGACTGTGAGATCTGTCTCTGCCCATGCGCCTACATAATTTCTTAAGCTAAATAAAAATATGTAGCTATTCCATTTTGTTTTTAAAGACAGGTGTGAAACTCTGCAGCAAAAGTGAGGGGGGGGTTAAAAGTTTGAGATATATTTTCTATTATGTGATTAGTAAATATATATAATTTAAAGTTTGGTTTCCTAGAAAGAAAGTTTCTAAACTCAGGGTCAGTGGTTTTCAGAATGTGTTGGCAGAGCCCCTTCACTAGCTCAGTCTTGCTTTCCCTACACTTGGTGCTTATGCTCCAGTAGTAGGTAGTGGTATCCTATCAAGAAAAAAGGTTAGGGAGGATCTCTAAGCTGGGGGGAAAAAAAATCACATTTTCTTTAGCCTTTTAATATGGTTTCTATTTTTAAATTCTTTTTCTCTCCATTTGCATTCAATTTGATATTCTGTACTAAACAGGGCGTACATTTGGCCGTCATATACCTGCTGATATTATCTTAAAATACATTGCAGTATCATATAACTTTAATTCTTTTTTTTTTTTTTTTGTGGCAAAAATCGGCTCAGCTGATGCATTAAAGTAGCAGTAGAGTTCAGTCCTTGCCTCAGTCTCAGGTGAGCTTCTTTTGCTTCTCGACTTTTGCTGCATTCGTACTTCTGGTTCCAGGGCTCCTGGCGTCGGCAGTCAGGGAAGAAAAGACTCTATGGGGATGGATTAAAATGTAAACCTGTTCAGATCCCCATGTCTTCCTGCCTCTGGCTCAGCTAGGCTACTGTTGAGACCCATTGAGTCCTCTCCATTGCCCCTTGTGCCCTTTAATGCCCAAGTGTGGCTTGCTGTGTCTTTTCCTTCCCTGAGATGTTTATTTAAATGATTTCAATATTTGAGGTGTGGGAGCTTTTAGAAGATTCTAAGTGAACTTTTAAAGGCAAATCGGCCTTTCACTGAAGAAAATATTACTTGAGATCTTGGGAAAAGCAACCTATGTTTACTAATTTTCTCATTCTTACATACTTTTGTCTTGGAAGGGCTTTTATTCCATTATAGCCGTTAAAATTTTTTTAAGGGAACTTTGAAATGACTGTGGCCTAAGTGGTTTGTTCTCAGTCATGGAAGGGAGGAGAGAAGTCTGTCAAGCATAAATGGCGTAAATGCTCTAGAAGAGTTGGAGTGGAGAGAGAGCAAGGATGTACGTCACTGTAATGCAGAGAGGACAGCAAGTATTACGTAGAATTGCCTTTTTACACAATGGAATTGGATTAGGGTAATGGAAATTGATGAGGAAGATTGCCTTGGAAATATAATAAATATGATTATAAAGCTAGAAGTGGAGGTTGTCAGCCCTTAAGGATGCACCTTCTACTCTGTAGTGTGCTTTAGAATTATGAAATGGTTCTCGTGATACATTAGAAAAGAATTCAGGATTTTTCTGGCTGATGAGAGCACTACTAGAAAGAAATCAAAATAAGAATGGGTTTGATATGTTATTTTGAGTTTGCTGGGCTCACAGGTCACTTCTTTAGTTGGGGGGAAAATGTTGAATTTGTATTCTTGCCACGGTAAAATGATTTTGTGTAGGTTTTGTCAAATTATTTCAGAGGAAAGATCTGAAACCAGATCTCCTAAATGTTGTCACCCCGATCTTGGGGTTGTCTTTGATGTACAGATTTATCGGAGAACACAGGATGAGAAAAGGGAACTCTTTAAACAGAAGAACGAAACATCTACTGGAATGAAAGAGTTGCTGCACATACAGTGGAATCCTTAAGTGATCCTGGCTGGGGTTGCTTCTGGAATAAAGAGCTTCGATGCTTTTGCTTTTGTGGAAAAGTTTAGCGGCACTTTAAAAGTTGCTACCGAATGCTCTCGAGAAAGGGTTCTGACTGTGTGCCGGTGCAAAGAGGGAGGGGAACACTGGGTCCATGATGTTGACCTTTAAGTCTAATTCACCGGGAAGAGTATTCTTCACCAAACTTTTACGTAAAAGGCTTATACGTGGAAATATATATTTGGAAGACCTTGAACCCTCTGTGCCTGGTCTAATGCTTCAGTTAGGGAAAGGAACTTAGGCAGTAAGAAGTACTTGAACTTAATGAAATTCAGATTTTGGCTCAGGGTTTAGAGTTGAGGTGGCAAATACTGAGCATGCATACCACCATGCTCCTTACCTATGCATGTGGCAGACATCACTAATCCATTATTAGTATCAGTGTACATTCTCTCTCTGAGTCCATATGTGACCTTATTATCTTTCTTAACCCAGCACTTTAGGCAGCTGCTAGTGAATTGATCAACATTACAGTGAAGATAAGACCTGTTTGCCCACCACACCCTCTGCAATGGGTTATAGTGTGAATTTAAAAATGGTCTGAATGTTTTTGAGGAGGCCATTCTGGGCCCAGTCTTCTAACCAGAGAACAGAGGAGAATTCAGAAGGTGCCTACTGAGAATATGCAGGCATTCTGGGGACAAAAGAGATTAAGATGGATTTCACCTTCAAGGACATGCCTGTTATTGGGAGAGGTAGGGCAAGGTAGCATAAGATGTATGCCAAGTGAGTGTTTTGTAGAATAAATATTAATTTAAGAGAGGAGCTTAAATCCTACGGGACTGAAATCTGAGAACTTATTCATTTTTCTGTCAGTAGCTTGGCCTATATACTGAATGTGCTCACTTAACATTGCTGTCTGTGTAGAAAGTGAAAAAAAGTGACTTGATGGGGAAGTTTGGGGAGATGAAAAATATGGGGAAGGCAAAATCTTAAAATAATTGAATCTGAGAAGGGTCAAGGCATGCCGGTAACGTTCAGTGGTTACCTCCACCTTTCTTCTAGGTGGCCTGCTAAGATGGACTGACCCACTTTCTAGAAGAGAAGAGTTAAGGTGGTGGGGTAGTTAAAGAACTGAAATATTGGAGTTGGGGACAGGGCAGGTGAGACCTATGAGCATAAATGGGTATTTTAGTGATTTGTTTTCTCTTGCATTGCCCTTTATCCTGGGGTTGGGGGGGGCGGTGACTGAGAGGTTTGCTTTAATTATTTAGGGTCTGAAGTACATTTAAAAATGTGTATTCTTGATGTAGTTTGTATAAGAAATGAAACTACTATATGGTCAGTGTTTTGCTCAAGAAGTTTCCTAATACAGATTGTTTTTGAAATGACTACCTAGAACCCTGCATCTGTTGGTAGATTTCTGTATTTTACTTTCTAATGTTTATAAAGTTTGAGTTTTGTTATTCTTATGTTTCACATATATGTTTAGTGACATGCTCATCTAATGAGAAATTGATGCAGTTATGGGGGAAATGTTTAAGGGATTAGGTATTTATAGGAGTGAATACTGTTTTCTGGCAGGCCACATAAGGTAATCCACTCATAGTTCAGAAAGATATTCTCTAAACGTGACAGACTGACTCTCTTTTTTTAAGGGCAAGAGCACACATTACATTGGGTATAACATTGCCTGACTACTTTTGTTTTCACCAGAAATTCATTTCTTAAACACTTGCTAGATCAAGCCTTCAAAGTAAATAGGTGGGATTGTGTATTTTTCCTTCAGATTTTCTTTAAAATTTTCCCTTTTTTTTTTTTTTTTGAGGAACCTTTTGATTAGAATAGAGATACCAGAGAATAAACAATTGAAAACATGACTTTCCCCACTGGGCCGGGTTACTCTGTTTAGAAATTATAGGAAATGCTGCCGATGGTAATGGTTCCTAATTTGTGAATAGAAAAGTTGTAAGAGCTATCTCATTTGTGTTAGGCTAGACTTGTGGTGTGACTAGTAATGAGAGAGGGTTCCTTTGTATATTGACAGCCAGATATAGTGATCTTATAAGGCTACAAAGAGAATGTTCAAAGAACTATGATGGATTTTATATAAGGTGTATAAAAGCAAACAAATCCTTGTTTGAAATAGAACCATTGAGACGAATCTATTATAACTTATCTGTAGGAGTTAGTGCTCCTTCAGATTCATGATTCAACCTTTATTTCTTCATCTACCAAATATTTGTTGTGATGTATTATGTGCCAGGCACAGCAATAAGTGATGGGAATACAAGGTGAGTAAATACAGAAGCCATAGTCAAGAACAAATAGTTGCATTTTAAAATGAATGGTTCTAATTAAATACAGATTTAAGATTTTTTTGAGCACACAGATGAGAAAGTTCCTAATTTTAGCTTACGTGTGGGGAAAGCTTCACTAGGGAAGCCATGCTTGGGTGTGGAGAGTGAAGAGAAATCTGCCAGGTGGGTAGGAGAGGTGAGGACTTCCCAGGCAGAAGACAATGCCTGAATGGACAGCAGTCATATATCTTTTTAAAAATCTCCAGCAAAGGAAATCATGCTGAATCACAACTGTAGTTTAACCCATGTTTTCTGGTGAAGAACTTAGCAGTGAAATTTCAAATCATGGTTCTTAAACTGGCAAACAACATTTTACAGTTAGCATTTCTCCTAATTCAACCAATTTTTTACTGTAAAGTAGCTTCTCCAGGCTCATGGACCCTCTCATCTTTTTTTGACTTTGGCAGCCCGGAGGCTTCATAGATATTAGCTGCATCTGTGCCTGGACGAGGAATAAGCATTTTGGTACCAAGTAGCCAGTTTCAGGCCCTGTTTGGGAACATAGCTGGAAACTCTGTGTCCTGAGTGGAAGTCCAAGATGCTCCTACTGCACAATCAGCCTGGTAAGAAGAGTGGGTAGGGAATCTAGCTGGCTTTCTCTCTCCTGCTCTTATTCTTCAGTGCAAAACAGAATGAATGCCCTGCTCTGCAAGCTCCAGAACTTATCCTTAATAAATTCTCT